TGTGTAAATTGTCCACCTAATACATCCTACATAAATCCGCATGGTCCGTGCTACTCTATCTCACTCCAGGTCTCAGGACTGATGTCAGGAATGACATGTGTCCTTGGGAAAACTGTCTATCCTAGTCCTGATCTACTATTCTACTGCAAACCCTGAATGGCTTAGCACCCAAATGGCCTTGGCAGAGGCTGGGGTTGGATGGGCCTTCTGTTTCACACCTCTGTGCTTATGTAGTACTTGTCTCAGAAATATCCTGATGGAGGACTCCAAACCTTCTCCCCTCCTGTCACCAATGATTCTCCCAAAATACAAGTTAGGTTATCACCTCCTAAAAAACCGTAAAGGATTCCCCAATGCCTATGACAAGCAAAGCCTTCATGATTGGGTGACAGAATACTCTTACATTCTCCACTCCATCTAGGCCACTCCAAAGATCCCTGTCTTCAGCCACACCCAGGCATCTACTGTAGTCTGAGCACTGTCCCTATTTCCTCCATCTTCCTAATTAGGTAAAATTTACCTAGATTTACCAGACTTTACATCTCTGTGCCTCAATATCCTCACCTGTAAAATGGGGGCAAGAGTAATACCTACTCACAGAGTTGTAGTTAGGATTCAGTGAGTCACAGGCATACACAGTCTCAGAATAATGCCTGGCATCTGGTAAATCTAAAGAGGTAATACTATTAGTAGAGCATTCTCCTCATTATATGGAACTAGGTTCAATAAGACCTCCTCCTAAACCAGGCTCAGCCACCCAAAGCAGAGGTAATGACAGCTCTTTCTGTTCTCATGGCCCATGCCAGTGGAACCCCCAACTTGTTCTTACTCAGTTCTGTGCTCGTATGTGCTTGCCTTCTCCTCTGTTGAACTATAAGCATTTTGAAGACAGGGATCTGGTCTAATCCATTAGACTGTGTGGAAGTTCTTTAAGGGATCTAAAGTGTGCTAGACTTTAGATCCCTTAAAAAACTTCCACAATAACTTGCACATAGTAGGCTCTCACTGAATATTTGCTGGATGGGAATTAATTTGAGAAAAGGATTAAAAGCAGGCAGATGAAGCACACAGACTTTTTGGATTCCGTGTGAGCATTCAGTGTGAGAACCCCGGCATTTACTCCATACCGCCTACCCACTGGAGAAATCTCATCACCCAAAAAGCATTTGTAAATGCAACTACTTGAAGGTGGCTTTGGAATAAACTGAATGTGATCATAACCAGGGATCTTGAATGGAGATTTCAGGAATCCATGAAAATCTGCTTCAACTGTAGTCAAAACAGGATTCAGTGTGCTTTTATTTTTTTCCTAGAGAGACTCCCTAGAAAGTTTTCATTGCAGGTTCATAGGTTTGGGAAGGCCCTCAAATTAAGAACTCTTAACTTAGGCATTTAGAGACAAAGTGTGTGCCCCACCTCAGGGCTTTACAAATGAGGAAAGATGTGGCTATCCTTACAAGGCACCACCCCACTAAGCAGGGCGAACTGGGCAATGGGTGCTGGATGATTTTAGAGGAATCTAGCGGGGGCTCCTTCAATAATTCCACATTAAGAGACCAGCAAGGGAAGGAAATAACAGGCAGAGGGAGTCGGGGACTCGGGAGCCTCCATGGCTCACTCCTCCTTGGCATGTGTGGAGTCAACATTTATCCATCATTACATGTGTGTCCTCGGCTTGGGGCCCAGACACTCACCATTCGGCTCTGTCTGGACGTGAAGGTTGTTCTCTGTCGAGGTGACTCAAAAGCAAACTACCTCAGGATCCAGACATACAAACGAGGCTGTTCACCTAATGATCGTGCAGGGAGTTATGTGACATTTAAACACTAGGAGAAGCCTGATACCAGAAAAAAGGGGAGAGAAAGCCCATTAGGGCAGAGTCCCTTTTGCATCTCCTGCTGGCAGATGATTTGGAAGGAGCCTTCACGCAGGAGCCTGTTTTATTTGCAGAAGCCACAGTGGTAAATTAAAGCCCATCCTAGCCCATTCTGGGCTCTCCAGTTCCTCTTGGAGCTATTCCTATTGCTGCCCACAGGCCACTAAAACCTGCCCACATTCAGAAGGATTGATTCGCTCAAACTGCAAGCCACAAACTCACGTCGAAAAATCCACTTCAAATAAGTCATTAGCTTTCTTCATGGATTTTTCAAGTCATGAGGAATAGGACCTAAAAGTCCCATCTATCGGAGAGCAGAAAGCCGGTGGTGGAAGAGGTGGGGGCAACTGGAAAAGCCACAGGGAGATCGGGGAGCCCTTGTTTTCTGCCAGTCAACAAAAGGGATTTAGCAAAAATGGACCCATGACTTCATTGCCAGTACCAGATATTCAAATGCAAACCAAAGGGCCCTGGGGTCTTTCTGTACATTGGAAGTAAAGGGAAGTGGAGAGAGGGCTCAGCAGGGGCCCATCTTTGCTCCCAGATCAGACAGAGGATGTGGAGCACCTGGGACATAAAGAGACATGGTAAAGGAGAGTGTCTAAAACTTTCTCACTTGTGATGGGATGACCTATTCCAGCTGGGTGCGAGGGAGACCATGGTGGGCTGGTGGGATAAGGCATCCCAGCGACAGGAACTGAGGCCTTAGCAGCAGCCCAAAGGCAACCAACACGAGAAGCCCGAGTTCTGTAGCTTGGCAAGTTTCCGCTCACCACCTGACCCACGTTTAGCAATTCTGATATACCATGAAGCAGACAGCTCCAGCCCAGGATGACTGCCTCCCTCAGCCCCTCTCCGGCAGGGAATGAAAGCAAGATCCACTTTGAAAATTCTCCCCCATCATGCAAACTGACATAGGCATGCTTTTCAAAAACCCACAGCCAATCTGTTGATCATTACTTATTTACAAAGGCCTTCGGGCAGAAAGTCCTGTAAAAACCATACTTGATACGATATACACTAGCTTTTTCTGCTTGTGGAAAAAAAGTCCCCCCAAGGCTACCTCAAACCATCACTTTCTATTGCACATAAAATGTAGCGTGTAACACTAAAGTATTTAATATATATGGTATAATATATCTACAGGAAAGGCATTTGTGTAGAAGTATGTTACCCTGGATTTGGTAATTTGATGTTTTGCTGAAGGCTATGACTTAAAAAAGCCTCCACCTTATACAGAAGACCTGTCATCTTGGTACCCAAGAGCCAACAGAATAAAGAAGTACCCTTAAGCAGCAAAACTTTGACACAGCTTTGAAGCATATGAAAACAGTATAACTCCTCAGAATTATTATTACTCAAGATCAAAGACATGAGCCATACTTTACATAGCAAACAGGGACAGGGAATTTGGCTCCAAAGGTTTCAGATTTTTCAGACTTCTTTTTATTTATTTATTTGCTTCTCTAAATTTAGGCAAAGGAAAGTGCCTGGGCTTTCCTCTACTTTAAAAGGGAATAACTATTAGCATTAGATAAGGCAATTACCTAAAGGTGGGTAAATAGGAAATGAATGCTGGCATGACAACTGGCATCATAAAAACAAAAAGCTTGGCAGTTGGCACATTTTATTCCTCCTCATAAACTGTAAACAAGCATGTAAATCAGCAACACCCAAGGAAGGCTGGGTGAACGGTGAATGGGAAGGCAGAGAACTTTTAAGGAAACATTTAACAGGAATAGATGGTGATGTGGAAAAGGAGTTAGGCGGGGTGAGTCTTCCACTGAGACCCCGTGCTTTCAACCACATTAACAAAGACTGTCCTTGCCTATTTTCCAGAAAGGTGGACATGGAGGGCCAGTGACATGCAAATGTGCTTGAAGGTGGGGAATGGAAATCACTATCATATTTCAAAAATCAAAGGGAGGAGAGCGGCCAGTGGTCATGAAAAGAGAAAAGTAAGGTCAAGTTGGCAGGCATTTCCACGGCAGTAACCAGGTAGGGTGAGCAGTGCAAATCTGAAGTCATTCCTGTTTTATTTGGGTGGTAGAGAATCAGGATATTGGAGGAAATAAATGCTGGGATTGGCAGATCAATTGAAGACAAAAAAGGGAGATAAAAGATGGATAGTCCAAGAACAGAAAACTGCAGAACACTGGTAAAATTTGATTTCACTTGCTCTTTACTAGAGGAAGTCATAGTCGAGAAATAAGTGAGGAAGAAAGAGAGAGAAGAAGAAAGGGAGGGAGGAAGGGGGGAAGAAGAGAAGGAGGGAGGAGGAGGGAAGGAAGGAAGGAAGGAAGGAAGGAAGGAAGGAAGGAAGGAAGGAAGGAAGGAGGGAGGGAGGGAAGGAAGGAAGGAAGGAAAGGGAGGGGAAGGAAGGAAGGAAGGAAAGGGAGGGGAAGGAAAGGAAGGAAGGAAGAAGGGAAGGGAGGAAGGAAAGAAGGAAAGAGGGAAGGGAAGGAACGAAGGAAGGGAGGGAACGTGCACATGCATGCTGTATTTCATAATTAATATTGCTTTTAGCCAGAGCAGAACTGGATTACTTTTGAACTTTGCTTTGGCAAGTCCACAGATTATTAGACTTTTTTTTTATCAGTCAAAATCAATTAACAGAAATTTGATTTCAATCGACAGGATAAAAGGAAGGTAATCTTCAGGTTCATTTTTGATTGTGATGATACATCTCACATACGGCCTTAAGTACAGAAAGCAGTCCTCGGAGGGACTCCAGCAGAAAGAGACTGCCGCAGGCAGACTAACCACACGAGTTCCTCTGATTGGTTACCGCCGTCATTAGTGCCACTGCTGTTTAGGAACTACACATAGACAGGACATGGTGACAGCTAAGACTTTAAAGCCTATGTATTTTTCAAACAGCTTTTCAAACTGTTTTTCATGACAGAATTTTTTCAGCTCTATCATTAACTGCTGACAAGCTGACAGAATAAATACTCCAGCCTTTAAGAAGCCATCTAACGATCGTGCTCCCCTCCCCCGATCTGGGCTTGCTGGGGAGGGGAGGCTCTGGGCCTGGCAGGGTGAGGAGGGGGCGAGGGGAGGAAAAGAAGGGGCTAAGAGGGAAACCGTGTACAAACCATGTGCAGCTAGCCCCTCTCCTTACCTCATCAGCTTAGGCGAGGTGTTGGGTGAGTTCCGCATACCTCCGTTCCGTTGCTTTTTTTTTGGTGATAGTGTTGACGGCTGTTCATCTTCAACTGGAAATACAGGCAGCTCATGAGATTATGAACAGTTTCAGGGCAGACTGTGAAATACAGGCAAAATATCAAAGGACACACACTCAAGGCTCAGTCACTCACTAGGAATTCATGGCTGTCTTTTAGGACCCAAAGACAAAGACCAAATGTGTTAGTCAAAGAGGCCGGCTTAGAGAAGGTGAAGGCATCACCTCTTTATACTCCAGCCTTTGAACATGCACTTTAAATAGACTAAAACACTTGGTAAATACCCTGCCATAAGAAAAAGAAAAAGAAATCATGATTAATCTGTATACCAGAAAAAAAAAACTTATCAACAATCATTATTCTTAGAGTTAATTTTTTTGGTTACTTTGCTTTGCTCAGTAATCGAGTGCATTTTGTTGTAACCAAAATCAGAAATAAAGTTGTATCTGAAATATCAGCATAACTGCCAGCCTGCTGCTTCTCCAGATGAACCAACTTAGCTGGTTCCTAATCCCTGCATGCCAGAGAAAGAGCACTGAAAAGAGGCAAGGATTCAAGGCCTTGACAACCAATGTTTCAGTCAGGTCAGGGCACATTGGCACATGCTGGCTCAAGAATCCCCAGCCCAACTCAGCTCTTATCCCTCCAACCACCAGGAGTGAGGGCTTGCGGGGCTGTGCCAATGGGGTCCTTTCTTAACCCATGAAGACAGGAGCACCGAGGCTGGTGAGGTTGGAGGAGAGCCCCAGAATGAAGGAGGAGGTTGCCAGTGAATGAAATCTCTGATGATGTGGCAGGCAGCACAGGGGATTGGAAACCAAAAGCTATTTTCCAAATGTCTAAACCACATAGATAGCTAAGCAATGTGAAGCTTCACTCAGAAACACCACAGCACACTCTAATGCACTTGCCCAAAGACACCCACTAATAAGCTTTGCAGATGTATTAGCCTGCATCATGCTTCTTTTTAAGAGAACTACTTGATAATTAGCAGATGGGAACCCAGCCCGTCACCCAAGGGCATCAGCGGCAAAATTCTAGTCCTCCTCTCCCCACCCCCACAATTCACGCTAAAGCTGTAATTTCAAGAAGGAAAAATAGGATCTTCAGATTCTTATAGTTGACTGCAACACAGACTAGGAGGAAAGCACCACTGAAACTCGGAATGCACGGCAGTTACCTTAAAGCTAAGAAGAGAAATATTAGCAGTGATGACATCAAAAGAAGCTTGATATATGTTAATGGTGTAGGAGTCTTAGATGGGGGAGAAAATGCCATGTCAGCTACTTGGTATTATCCAGGAAGACCCATATTAGAGCATGCATTATATGGTACTTCTCTGAAAACCCTAAATAAATTTAGTAGGTTATGATACATGGTTCTAAAGGGATTTTAATAATCCAACTACCCTCCAAACCTGCTTCAAAGTATTACACATTTTACACTCTCCTATTCTACTGCCAGTCTGGTCTTGTCTAAATTTTGGCTGACCCAGAAAAAGGGAATGACTTTGGTGTGAGGTGAGAGTGAGACCAGAAGAAAGGAAGGCAAGAAAGCACCTGCCAACGCCCACAGCCCACTCCCTGTACCACCTGCTCCCTCTGACACCCACCAGGGCCCACTCTCAGGCTGCGACCGTATCAGTCACTTAGAGCTCCAGGCAGAGACTATGTGGCTGGGATCATATCGCATCTTATCAGAAATGAGTATCCAAAGCAAATCACACAGAGACTAAACAGCACTTAAAAGATTAAAGGAAATAAATACGAGCCACATAAATGGTATTGAAAAAAATCACTTAGAGTTGATATGTATCTCTCAGCAAGCAAACAGGCACTCTGAGCTTGACCTAAATTCATCTTCCTTTCACGGGACAGGGGACCAGGCATCCAAGGCAATAATGGGGTAGAAAAGCACTCTGTGTGTCTGTGTGTGTGTGGGTACTTTCGCCCTTTCCCCATCTTAGAATGAAGTACAAAGTCTTGCACTGCCTAAACCTGTAAGACAAGGTCATCTTTTAATATGGGCCACTTGCAGTTGGTGTATCATGTTCAGAGTAACCTAGATTGGTTGTGTAGCATGCTGGACCAAATAACATGTGTGTGTTTGTGTGTGTGCATGTGAGTCGCTCTAGTCAGGGTGCAAGTTCTGTTTTTCCCATCTTAAGGTTATAATCCCATATCCAAAGTTCCTTTATCTAACCTAGCTTTTTTCAAGGTCACCAGAGGTTACCATGGTTGTGTCCAGTTACACAATGAATCTAGATGAGTTAAGACCTGAACAGAAGTCATCCTCCCTAGCTTGTCTGTGGGATTCTTTTGCTTAGCCTTTGCTTCCCTGTTTGCACTGGGCCTATAACAAATAATCCTCTTTGGTTAAGTGGCCATTATCTTTATACCTTGTTGCTAGCTGTTTACCTACACTGATCTTCAGATGGGAGAGTTGCAAGTTAGTACCTGTTAGCCAGCTCCAGGGAGACACCTCATTCTGGTAGAAAAGTTGTGCCTCTTCTATGTAAAGAAACTATTTATTTTCATTGCAACTCAGAAAGATCATCCATCATAATCACACTGCATTTAAACTGGGATTCGTTCTCCAAGATGAAACTTGTGTTTAAAGGTTTCCTCCTGCACTCACAGCCTGAAAATGCAGATCTGTTCCCTGAAGAGATGGGGGGAACGCCTCCAGCTTAAATATATGGATGCTATGTAATGGAGACCTTACATATGGCTTAGGTCCCTCAAGAGAAGCAGTGATAACTTCTTTCTCATAAGTAGGATATAAACTATATTTAATTATTAGCCTTTATATGGATCCTATCAATTTCTGCATATTTAAAGAAAGCAGAGCTAAGAAAACTTTTAGTTAAGCTATAAAATATAATTTTCATTTCATGGCTTCTGTGACTACATGAGAGGAATAAAAATGGAATTAAAAGGGAGACCTAAATTTACTCACTTTCATGAAAGACAAATGTGTTGAAGTAATGGGCCACTACTTCATGACGATGCGCATTTACAAGCTCTTATTTAACACACATTTCGGGTAATTACAATACACCTCCATCTCTGGCACTTTCACTTGCCTTCCTGCTGGGGAAGCCACGTAAAGATACGATCCTTTAAAGAAACCTGACTTCTTTAGAACACAAACAAGTTCAGGAATCTAACGTGGAATTTTTATAGGAGCTGAACTCCATCCAGTCTCCAAGTACTCATAAAATTCAAGGGCTTGTTTTTGCACATCCCTAAGTATAACACTTAATGTGCTGTTGTAACTTCCCAGCGCTCCCTTGTCTAATAGGCACTGAATCTAACAGTTTTACAGTTTGGGAAGACTCAGTGCTAGAAAAATGTCAGGCAAGTCTAATGAGGCTTCAGATCCCCTGGTTTGCGCTAGAGTTTAATTTAAAGTTACAATGATGTTTTAACATGTTTGCTTATACTTGACTAAAGAGGATACGTTATTTCAATGACATAACCTCAAGACAATGTTCTGGGAATTGATTTAAGATGTGATGGTAATTCCAACAGCCTTAATGCAGAGTTGAACATCTGTAACAACATTTTACTCGACTTTTCATCAGCTTGCTGTTTTCAAGCAAAAGCAAGGCAACGTCTTCCAGAAACCCTGGCCAGAACTCTGGGCTTACTTCAAACTGATCATATATTTTACTAGATTTTTTTTAAAGTAATATCTTCCTTTATCAGCCTCACCAGATTGCAAACACTGTGTCAGGGTTTACCAAAGCCTCTTTATGATCCTCAGAGTGAAATGAGGCAATGATTGCCAACTCCCAGCCTTCCCTAATTCAGTCTAATGCCTACATAGGATGGGCCTGATGCTCAGCTCTAGCCTGGGGCACATTCTCTCTTCCCTGTTTCCTCAGTGAGATTTAAGGGGATGATGCCCCTTAAGACTTAAAGGTGAGTTTGTTGGCTGGAGTTAAAAAACAGTTCAAAGCAAATAAACTCGGAAATGTAATAAAAGGCAAACAACTCATAAACATGAGTCAACTGCTATCTCCATTATGTTATTAATCACCACATCTGGAGGAACCCACATCTGAACACACTTAGCAGGTCATTAGTAATGTCATATTCACACTGGAGTCACTCAGAGTAAGAGTCATGCAAAGTGGTTTGAACACAAAGGCATCTAGCTAACAGGGCTTCCGACTAATGTCTTGCGCAAGCTGCCAGTTTGGGGGTGGGGCCGTTTTAATTATCATTAATTGTTTTTATGGTTTTCCCTTTTGGTGTTTTGCTGCCCAGCAAGCTAAATGCAAGCTGAAATCCACAGGAGTGCATCTCTCTTCTTCAACTGAGCTTAGCATGGTAAAGTAAAACGTTAAGGGGTGCAGGGCAGTGATTAAAAATGGGGATGGTTCCCAGTCCTCCTTCACCTGGCTCGGTCACAAGCCGAGAATTGGGAGTTTCCTTCTTGAACTCAAATGTGTCTTTGGGATAGCGTGATCTAGCTGCAACCTTGACTGCCAAACAATAAGGAGAAAAGAAAACGGAAATTAATTCTTAGTGAAATTTTTTTTAGAAAAGTTCCAAACCAATTTTAACATTGAATAGCTTTGAATCAAAATGGAAGTTTCTCCCTCACAGCTGAATTGCCTTTTCTTTTCTTTTCTTTTACCCTGATGACTTCCTGCAATTCTTTTTGCTTTTTTATTGTCATGGATGTCAGGAGGGATAATACTTCTGGAAATTCAGAAGACAATCTTCTTGGTATAACTTCCAAAAATATACAAAGTTCCCCGTCAGCCCACAACATGCTCAGACACAGAAAACTCAGTTTAGCAGCAGGATCAGACCCATTCTCTCCTGAAGTCTGCTAATAGCAATTCTTCTGAATAATCACTATATTCCAAGTCATCAGTCCTCGGTGTTAAACTTTTGCTGTCTGTCTCAAACTGCTGAGATGGTCAGCCCCCTTGGTTCTGATATCAGTGCCTAACATTAAATGCTGTGAGTCTGCCACTCCTCAGAAAGAGTGATGCACAGCGTTTCCTTCTGCCATCA